TTCTTACAGGGGAGGGTATTTTATTTTGTTGGGGGCTTTATTGGTGCAAATATTTGCAGTTCGAGAAAAACAGTCTTTTTGTTGGTTTGCTTCATTCGATGCATTTGTCTGTCTCCTTGCAAGCAACTCTGGGTGGCTAATTTAAACAACGGCAATAATTACGAATAATAACAATCCAGAGAGGGAGAGATACAGTAAAAAAAAAAAAAAGCATTATTACACACACACACCTGTAGTGCTGGGGTCAAATCGCTTCACATAAATATTAACACACTAATGGCCCATACAAATCTTGGCCTAAAGCCCCGGACCTTCTTCAGGACCTTATTTAAGGCCATCAAAGCCATATGGATCTTGGAATGGGGTGGGGCTGGCTTTCCTTAGGGCAGAGGCACAGACAGAGAAGACATGCTCCCTGGAGCCTGCCAGATTTAATAGATGGGATCTGGCACAAGCCACCCCATTGTGACTAAATTATTCCAATTCAGAGTTAAATTATAACTGTTAATAAATCCAGGGTTCTTAACTTTCCTAGTATTTCTGCTGATCAAAGTACTATTGTTTGTGCAATCGCTTGGCACTATCCCTGAACAACAGCAGGCTTGGGAGATGCAGGAAGTTAGAACCCCTGCCCCCCCAAAAAGGGGGGGAGGGAGCACTGGTGGGCTGGTAACAGATAACAGATAATCAGATAAGAGACCTTATAGGTCATCTAGTCCAACCCCCTGACCAAGCGGGAGACCCTACACCATTTTTGACAAATGGGAGTCCAATTTCTTCTTGAAAGTCTCAACTGATGGCACTCCCACAACTTCCGGGGGCAAGCTGTCCTATTGGTTGATTGTTCTCACTGTCAGAAAGTTTCTCCTTATTTCCAGGTTAAATCTCTCCTTCAGTTTCCATCCATTATTCCTTGCCTGGCCTTCTGGTGCTTTAGAAAATAGCTTGATCCCTTCCTCCCCATGGCAGCTCCTCAAATATTGGAACATTGCTATCATGTCTCCCCTGGTCCTTCTCTTCACTAGACTAGCCATGCCCAGTTCCTGTAGCCGTTCTTCATTTGTTTTAGTCTCCAGTCCCCTAATTGTCCTGGTTGCTCTTCTCTGTACTTTTTCTAGTCTCAACATCTTTTTTATAGTGTGGTGACCAAAACTGGGTGTAGTGCTCTAGGTGTGGTCTTACCAAGGCTTTATAGAGTGGTATTAGTACCTCAGTTGATCTTGATTGTATCCCTCTGTTAATGCAATTTAGGATTGCATTAGTTTTTTTGGCAGCTGCTGCACATTGCTGGCTCATATTTAGCTGGTTGTCCACTAAGACTCTAAGATCCCTCTCATAGTTACTGCTATTAAGACTGGTTTCACCCAGTCTATACGTGTACTTTTGGTTTTTCTCGCCTAAGTGTAGGACTTTACTTTTCTCTACATTGAATTTCATTTTGTTAGATATGTCCCAGTGTTCTAGTCTGTCAAGATCCATCTGGATCTTGAGCCTATCTTCTTGGGTGTTAGCTATTCCTGCCAGCTTAGTATCATCTGCAAATTTGGTAAGTCTCCATTCTATTCCCTCATCTAAGTCGTTAATGAAGATATTGAAGAGTACTGGGCCTAAGACGGAACCTTGTAGCATCCCATTGCTTACTTCCCTCCATGTAGACTTAGACCTATTAAGGACTACTCGTTGAGTACGGTTTGTCAGCCAGTTGCGGATCCATCTGGTGATGGTGATATCTATCCCACTTTTTTCTAGCTTACCAAGAAGTAAGTTGTGGTCAATTTTGTCGAATGTCTTGCTGAAATCTAAATATGTTATGTCCACAGTATTTTGCTGGTCTACTAATTTAGTCACTATGTTGAAGAATGAAATAAGATTGGTTTGGTATGATCTGTTTTTAACCAACTCATGCTGACTGTTTCAAGATGTTGGCAGCTGTTTTTTAATTATCTTTTCCAGTATCTTCCCAGGTATTGATGTTAGTCACTATGTTGAAGAATGAAATAAGATTGGTTTGGTATGATCTGTTTTTAACCAACTATGTTGACTTGTTTCAAGATGTTGGCAGCTGTTTTTTAATTATCTTTTCCAGTATCTTCCCAGGTATTGATGTTAGGCTGATTGGTCTGTAGTTTCCTGGGTCTGTTTTTTTTTCCTCCCTTTTTTGAAGATGGGAATCACATCAGCTCTTTTCCAGTAATCTGGTAGTTCCCCGGTGCTCCAGGATTTTTGAAAGATATGGTGCAGTGGTTCTGAGATGACCTCCGCCAGCTCCTTTAAAACTCTGGGATGTAATCCATCAGGCCCTGTTGATTTGTGTTCTTCAAGACCAGACAGGTGTTCTCTTACTATTTTTTTTGCTTATTTTAACTTTTATTTCTGGTCTGTCTTTTACAGTTATGTTTTTGGTGGGTTGAGCTATAGTTTGTTTTTGCGTGAAGACCAATGCAAAGAATGAGTTAAGCAGTTCTACTTTGTCTCTGTTGCCTGTTACTTCCTTGCCATCTTCTCTCCTTAGTGGACCGACTGCTTCCTTGATCTTTTTTCTTGTTATTTATATGATGGAAGAAACTTTTTAAAAAATTATCTTTGACTTTTATAGCAAGTCTTTGTTTGTCCTGAGCCTTTGCTTTCCTGACTTAGTCTTTGCAGATTCTGGCTATCTTTGCAGATTCTGGCTGCAACTGGTTTAACAACTGGTTTGGTGAACGTGCATGCAGCATTCAAAAACAGCCCATTTTAAGCTTAAAACTTACCTTCTATGTCAGCGCTGGTGAGTAAAACAACGGAGGCGAGGCAATCTACTGTGCCGCACAACTCAGCTGAGCTAAAAAACAGGGAAATATAGGCCAGGAAAAGCCAGGGGCAGGTGGGTGGGGCCAACTGCTCACCGGAACTACCACTGTGATAGAACTGGTCCAAACCAGTAGCAGCCCACCACTGGACTGGAGGGTCCTTTAAAAACAGTATTTATACGGTAGATATGGGTTTTTGATGAATTCTGGAATTAGTGGAAATATTTTATTAATTCAATGTATACTTCGCAAACTCCAATAAACACAGACCAAGACTCCCAACCAATCAGGATGAAGAAAATAACATTCTGGCACAACAGTAGGCTAGCACCAAATTTAAAACAGGAATGGCTGTGAAAGTCTTGACTCACAGATGAACACTATACAGAAGCCTGATGATGGCAGATGAGATTCTGCCGAAACGTTGCTACAACTTTAAAAGCACAACTGTAATGATGTGGGAAAATACCCGAACAAAGCTGAATACCGTGTGTGTGTGTGTGTGTGTGTGTGTGTGTGTGAAAAAGCACTCATGCGTCATCACAAAATCTCCAGAACCATAAAGCCTACAAACTTGAAATTTGGCACGTATGTTCCTTCTAGGTGCCCACTAAGAAAGGATTTTTCTAAATGACCATCAGAGCATTAGTATTTCCTATATTATTATTAACACGCTCTGATGCTAAGGAGTTCTACTCCCTCTCCCCACCTGAAAAGAAATCTGTTCCAAATGCAAAACACAAGCAAAGGAGAGGAGTTTCAGTTTTAGTTTCACGGCAGCAAACATCTTTAGTACAGAACAGTTGAGCTAAGCCATGCCCAGGCTCCTTGCTGTCTCCTTCTTGCTCACACACCAAATACTGTTTGAGTTTCCAAACACCCCTCAACTCTCTCTCCCACTTACAGGACGCTAGCCAGAGGAATACCAATGGATGCTGGTAGGCAGAGGCAGAATTCCTGCCCCCCCACCTTATTTTCCTCCTCAGGTCAGACAAATCTACTGTAATACCAGTTAAAGGGAAAAGAGGCAAAAAATGCAGAAAAAGATTTACAGATGCAATTAGAAAAACACAAGTAAGGGAAGCTGCACATAAGTATCGTCAAACTCATTCCCAAGTCAGTAGACAGGCTGTAAAAAAAAGTATACATCTAATAATCCCTATGTTAATCAGTCATAAATGAGATTAACGCCTTGGACTAGTAAGTATTTGTCTAGTTTTCAATATGAACCTCAGATTATTTGTCTAGTTTGTCTAGTAAGTATTTGTCTAGTTTTCAATATGAACCTCAGATGCATTATTCCAGGAAAAAGGTTGCTGATCTTGAACCTCGGTTACCTTCTGCCTGGTGCCGTGCTATAAAGTGGCAGGATGAGAGTCCAGGGATGTGCTGCAGTGGCAGTAAAGTCCAGCTCCCTCCATGTCAGCCCACCCTGAACCCTTACATGGCCTTCTCACCCACCAACATCCACTGGCAAACCGCTTTCTTTCTCCTGTCTGGAGGAGGCTTCCAAATGACGTCTTTTGGAGCCAGAGAGGTGAAGGAGGGAAATTTTATGCCAACATTCAAAGTGCAGGGGCAGGTCAATCAGAGACACTTTAGTGATTTTTTTTAGTTCTCTTATGAAAAAAACTCCAGCCGTACCTCCTGCGGCATAAAATGGGTGGCGATTGGAGCTTGAATCTAATTGCAATAAAGAGCCAAACTGCACCCCTGGGAGCCACTTTTGGAGAAGAGGCAAACCATGCCAGCACATGCTAAGAATGTCTGGGGTGCGTGGGCGTCCTGTAAAAGAGCTGGAAACCACTTTGGCAATCACCCATTGCCTGTTCAGCCCCGCTCCCTCTTGGGTTTGCCCTTGCATAATTAAGAGATGGCCACGGGGAAAGGCATCAGTCTAACTGTTTCTCCTTCATGAACTGGATGAAG